TATATATATATATATATATATATATATATATATATATATATATATATATATATATATATATATGCGTGTCTGTGTGATGTATGTAAAATTTGGCCCGCGAAAACGTTTGTTTTTCTGCATCTGGCCCTCGGCCCAAAAAGTTTGGACACCCCTGGTCTACCCAAACCCTCAACCCAACTCTTACAGTAATGTAAATACAGTAATTATACAGAGATTTATTTATATTATTTATTACATTACCCATTAAATTGCATTTTATAAACATCTACACCTACCCCTACACTCACAGTAATTTAAGAATATGAATTATTGTTGTACAGTGTAGCATAAATGATGCTATATTAATGTGAGTATCTGCAGCTGTATCCCTTCTAGAATCTACTTGTTGATACCCTTGTACACCTTTCAGCCAACATCAATCTTACAGCCTAAAGGTGAATTTCTATACAACTAGACACAAATGGCTATAATAGAGTTATAAAATGGGTAACACTTCATTTTGATGGTCCAGTTGAATATTAGTAGACTGTCTGCTTAATATCTGCTGATACTGCTCCTTCAACAGACATTTAACTGACTATAAGAAACTTTGTAAGTGAATGTCAACTTACACTAACCCTAACCTAACAGTCTACTTATAATCTAATGAGAATTAGTTGGCTTGTAGATGCAGTGTAACAGACTGTCAACTTAAGTGTGACCAAAAATGGCCCTGCTAATGAACGCCCCGTACCTTAGGGAATCCCCTGACGGCGCAAAGCAGCTTGGTGTTGTATCCGACAGTAGTGCTGCGGTCCTGCATGGGGGTGGTGAATTTGGGGGCCTCGCTGAAATCGTGCTCCTTGTACACTGGAGGCTTGTAGTCGATGCCTGAAACATGAGCATGAAGATCAGTTTAGTAACAATCAGTTTGACAGAAAGACACTGCAAGACGTTTCTTTGTTTCTGTAGAAAAAGGCATCAACAATCATAGGCTTGATTCACAGAGAATGCAAATAACAAGTAAAAGTCAAAATTATTCACCCTCCAGTGAATTATTGTTTCCTTTTAAAATATTTTCCAAGTGATGTTTATTCATTCATTCATTTTCTTGTCGGCTTAGTCCCTTTATTAATCCGGGGTCTCCCCAGCGGAATGAACCTCCAACTTATCCAGCACATTTTTACGCAGCGGATGCCCTTCCAGCCACAACCCATCTCTGGGAACCAAATGATGTTTAACAGAGCAAAATAATTTTTCACAGTTATCCTATAATATTTTTTCTTCTGGAGAAAGTCTGATTTGTTTTATTTTGCTAAAATAAAAGCAGTTTTTATTTTTTTGATACCTTTTAAGGTCAATATTATCAGCCCACTGATCAATCATGATCTTGATTCACAGAGCATGCAAGAACTGATCACAGTTCCGGATAGGCTAATCGGCAGGACCGGGAGAAATCCCAGTGGGCCGGTCCGTTTTTTGGCCGTGAGGGCCGGTGTCTCTAGCTGCTTGCACTCTCAGCAGTCGCACTTTTTTTCATTTTTTTTGTTTATTTGACCATAGCCTCAATCTTTTTATTTATTAATTTGCCGCAGCTCCGCGCTTTTTATTTATTTTCTCGCAGCCCCGTGAGCAAAATGCAGCCTGCAGGTTAATGATGACGTAATTATTATTTAACCCCAAACAGCGGCACCTTAGTGAATATATAAATTAGAATAATTAATATTAATGAATATTACACCTGCTCATTGAAAATCAGATGATTCACTTCATTAATAAATCTGCCTTTGTGGTCCAGTGGTCAGCATGTTGCGTTACCACACTGCAGGACCAGAGTTCAATCCTTACCTATCTAATTGAATTTATTTATTTGTTTTTTCATTTTTATTGTTAAGACATATAATACTGTTTGGGTTGTTGAACATTTCAACTTATAAAGGAGCTGTTTTCTTGAAAAATACGTGATCGTGTCATTAGAAACTGAATTGGAAATGACGTTATTTTATTATAGTCAGTCGTGAACTGAGGTGGGCCGGTCTAAGGCTTGAAACTCCAGAGCTGAAAAGAAGTCCCACACCGGCCCTGACTGATCAAACAAACAAACAAACAAACAAACAAACAAACAAACAAACAAACAAACAAACAAACAAACAAACAAACAAACAAACAAACAAACAAACAAACAAACAAACAAACAAACAAACAAATAAATAAATAAATAATTAATTAATTAAATAAATAAATAAATAAATAAATAAATATATTGTCATGTAGATCAGTGGTTCTCTAAGTGGGGGTCGTGGGACAATGAAGGGGGTCGCCTGGTGCTTTTCAAAAAATCTATTTCTTTTTATTAAACCATAAGAATTACCATATTTTATCCATAACCTATTGAAGAAAAACAATAGTTGTTTATAGTTACTATATACTATATAATTACAATAGTAGCTTATAGTTAGGCCCACTCAGAATCTGAGCGCGCAGAATTCCGCAGATTTTCCGCAGATTTCCACCGTTTTTTAGCCCATCATTAATTGTTTATTTACTTGAGTAAATGTGTGTAAATCTTATGCATTCTGTTTTTTAATTAATTTCAGTAATATTATTGATTAATATGAAAATGTTCATCTGATTTATGTATAATGCAGTTGTACAGTCATATTTCTGTCTTTTAGTAGATAAATTATTCGACAAACTTGCTTTACTTACCAAATAAAGTGAATCTAATCAAATTTGCATAGTAAACATTAAATAAAAGTTTAAAATAAATTATTATCGTACTGTACCTCTCAGTGGAAAAGGGTTATAATATGCATTAAGTTACTGTAAAAGTTTTAAAAGGACCCACAATGCAGTGCAAATTACAGTAGTCAACTTTAAAGAATGTATGTGGTATTTCACTGAATGTTTTTGCAGTAAACAACCATATAATTGCAGCAAAGTTTAACCAAATCAACCTAGTGAAGCCTTTAAATGTCACTTTAAGCTGAATACTAGTATCTTGAAAAATGTCTAGTCAAATATCATGTGCTGTCATCATGACAAGGATTAAAATAAATTAAAAATGAGCGATTAAAACTATTATGTTTAGAAATGTATATGAGAAGCTGGTTTACCTGTCTTCTGGATGGTTGCTGAGGTCTTTGTAGTGGTGGCTTCTTGGCTGATTCCACACTTGTTCTCAGTGAAGACCCTGAAGATGTAGGTGTTTCCCATGATCAGGTCTGAAATGGTGGCATTCAGTCTGTGATAATGCTCCAGTACTGTGAACCAGTCCTGAGAAGAGACCACAACACCAGTCAGTCAACTCCACCACTGCACAATGCATGTATCTATTTGCTTGACTATAGAAATAAGGTTGATAAAGAGACATTGTTTTGTTTTTTAAAACCCACCATTGGTTGAACAAACACACAACTCACACCACTGGTGGAGTCAGTCAGTGCTGTTCTGTAGATTTACACTGCAATAAATGCTTTCTATTATTCATTCATTTTCCTTCAGCTTAGACCCTTATTTATCAAGGGTTGCCACAGTGGAATGAACCGCCAACTACTCCAGCATATGTTTTACGCAGCGGACGCCCTTCCAGCTGCAACCCAGTACTGGGACTACATACACTATGGTCAGTTTTGTTTATTCAATTCAGCTATAGCACATGTGTTTGGACTGTGGGGGAAACCGGAGCATCCGGAGGATTCCCACTTCAACATGGGGAGAACATGCAAACTCCACACAAAAATGCCAACTGACCCAGCTGGGACTCAAACCTGAGACCATTTAACAGTTCAAAAATCTTTTCAAATGAGTAGAATTAACTTTCAGTCCATTTTGAGTTAACTACACTCATTTCATTTGATAAAGTTGACTGTTGGGTTTTACAGTGTGATACTTCAAAGCACTTTCTGGAATGACACAGTGGGCATGTTTTTGAAAAGCGATTGTAATGGCACAATGTCTAAAAAATGCAACTTTTGTCATAAATGTTATTAAATTTGTAGATATAACAAAGAATGTTAGCATATAATAATGTTTTTTACTTTATTTATATAATTAAGGGTGCAACTTTGGTTTGAAAATGTTTGGGTTGAACAATTGGGGAGATAATTTGTGATTTAATCCCCTTTTCTGCATTCACATATATTTAATCACTATAGAGTGATAGAAAATTTAGGAAAAGATAGGTTAATTAAACAATCTTAAAGGGATAGTTCACCAAAAATGTTAAATTGTGCTAGAATTTACTTACACTTGTTTAAAGTCTTTAGGATTTTGGAGAATGAAAACCTGTAACCATTGAGTCTTATAGTATTTGTATTTCCTAATTCGGAAGTCAATGGTTAGAGGTTTTCATTCTCCAAAATCTTAAAGATTTGAAACAAGTGTAAGTGTAAAGTGTAAACATCTAAACAAGTAAACAAGTAAAGTGTATGTGTAAAGTGTAAATATCTAAACAAGTAAAATGTAAGTGTAAAGTGTAAATATCTAAAAGAGTAAACAAGTAAAGTGTAGGTGTACAGTGTAAATATCTAAACAAGTAAACAAGTAAAGTGTAGGTTTAAAGTGTAAATATCTAAACAAGTAAACAAGTAAAGTGTAAGTGTAAAGTGTAAATATCTAAACAAGTAAACAAGTAAAGTGTGTGTGCAAAGTGAAAATATCTAAACAAGTAAAGTGTAAGTGTAAAGTGTAAATATCTAAAAAAGTAAAATGTACGTGTGAAGTGTAAATATCTAAACAAGTAAACAAGTAAAGTGTAAGTGTAAAGTGTAAATAACTAAGCAAGTAAAGTTTAGGTGTAAATTGTAAATATCTAAACAAGTAAACAAGTAAAGTGTAAGTGTAAAGTGAAAATATCTAAACAAGTAAAGTGTAAGTGTAAAGTGTAAATATCTAAACAAGTAAAATGTAAGTGTAAAGTGTAAATATCTAAACAAGTAAAATGTAAGTGTAAAGTGTAAATATCTAAACAAGTAAACAAGTAAAGTGTAGGTTTAAAGTGTAAATATCTAAGCAAGTAAAGTTTAGGTGTAAATTGTAAATATCTAAACAAGTAAACAAGTAAAGTGTGTTTGCAAAGTGTAAATATCTAAACAAGTAAAGTGTAAGTGTAAAGTGTAAATATCTAAACAAGTAAAATGTAAGTGTAAAGTGTAAATATCTAAACAAGTAAAATGTAAGTGTAAAGTGTATATATCTAAACAAGTAAAATGTAAGTGTAAAGTGTATATATCTAAACAAGTAAAATGTAAGTGTAAAGTGTATATATCTAAACAAGTAAACAAGTAAAATGTAAGTGTAAAGTGTAAATATCTAAACCAGTAAAATGTAAGTGTAAAGTGTAAATATCTAAACAAGTAAAGTGTAGGTGTACAGTGTAAATATCTAAACAAGTAAACAAGTAAAGTGTAGGTGTACAGTGTAAATATCTAAACAAGTAAACAAGTAAAGTGTAGGTATACAGTGTAAATATCTAAACAAGTAAAGTGTAGATGTAAAGTGTAAATATCTAAACAAGTAAACAAGTAAAGTGTACGTAGATGTGAAGTGTAAATATCTTTGTGTTCAAGAGAAAAAGGAAACTCATATAGGTTTGGAACCACTTGAGGGTCAGTAAATAATGTCTCGATTAAAAGTTTTTGGGTGAACAATCCCTTTAAATTTTCTACTTGATTTGTAATATGAATTGTGGCTAGACAGCAGCAAAATGAATGTGTAGGGTGTTTATATGAAAATTTTGATAATAATTTTAATCATTTAAAAGCTTCTCATGATTAAATTTTGGTAATGATAAAAATGTAATATTTACATTCCCAAATGTTATCCCAGCGTGGTTAGAAACTATAAAAATTGGGAATAAATGCACCTCTATCCCCAGTGGTAGTTATGCCCCTGTACAGTATATAAATTTTCATGTTCAAATCAATGTTCCTTAACAATTTTTGTATATTGTTGTAACTTCTGTAAATAATCTGCTTCTACACCATTTTCAATGTATTTGTTTGAGCTTGTACCCCTGTCTTTTTGTCGGCCTTCTGGATGGTGTATCCAGTGATTGTTGTGTTTCCATTGTCCTTGGGTTCGGTCCATTCCAGAGCAACATTAAATCCCCAGGTGTCCACGATCTTCACGGAGGCAGGAGGTCCAGGCAGCTCTGGTAAACATGTCAACAAGGAAATTGTTAAAAAATACCACAACTTTTTTCTTAAAGGGGTGGCTCACTACGATATCATATTTTAAACTTTATTAAAACTTTAGAGTGTGAACATCTCTGAATGTAAGTTCAATGCAAACAGAGACAGAGAGTTAGCTTAGCAAAGCCTAAAGTGAACGAATTTGGGGACTACAAAAAAAATACATCCGGGCTAGTGAGATCACAAAACACAAAGGGGCGTGGCCAGAGGCACAGTAATGTTATAGCAGAGAAAGCTAAAATGACGCCCAAACACTGCTATTTCCACAGAGCTTCTTCTGTTTCTGTATTTTGGGCTTCCAAAAGACACAAATCAAAGAGAAAAGTGTTAACAGATTAATTTTAATTATGTTCCAGAGAATTATACAAAATATATAGCTAACATTTGACAAAGGAGAACTTTCAAAATCTCTTTCTGTTCAGTGCTGAATTCAGCTAAAAATTCCTCCAACTGAAAAAGTTTTAGTTTCAAGAGTTCACACTTGAATGATTCACGCTGATGATTCATTATAAGCAAGTTTGGCATGCTGTCCCAGGCGAGAGCCCTGAGCTCAACAGGTCCTTGAGCCCTGGGCTCCCTCCCGTTTGCAGGGCAAGAGTAGAGCCTTGAGCTCAGGTAGATCTCGTCAACTCCCTTTGATAAGAGCTGATGACTAAAATGAATGGCGAGCTGTTAAAGGACTAGAACATAACATAGAATTTAAGGGCAATTTATTTATTTTATTAGGTAAATATTATATTCAAAGTGTTTCTTTGTGACTTTAATTGTTTAATTACTACTTAACAAAACGTTTACAGCAAAAGAAGTGTTAAAACTGTGAAATTTTAGAAGGACTTTGTGAATATTATTTAATTTGATAATTTGCCTCTGTACTAAGTATAATTTTAATAATAAGTATTATTAAAAAAAATACTTATTTACTATTGACTTGATGTCATCCATTGTTATGATTAATATGTTTGTATTGTTAAAACACAATTATGATAATTAAAAAAAATTAATTTGTTCACAGCACCAATCTTATCTTGTGGAGCATGTTGATTTACTTTTATTTAGCATCCAATTCTACCACTCACCGATAATCTGCAGAGTTAGCTGGGCCTTGTCCTCAAAGCTGTCCACTTTCACACACATCTCATACACTCCGGAGTCGACTCTCTCAGCGGCACGGATGAAGAAAATGCTGTCCTTGTCGCTGTTGCGGATGTTCACCTTTTTAGTGTCAATAGGCTGGCCATCCTTTGTCCATGACACAACAGGCTGGGGTTTTCCCTGCCGGTAAGAAAACAATACAAGAGAAGCTGTGAATTAGTATCTCTAAGTCCTAATGTAGATCCAAACGGTACAAAGTAGATTTATATATGATATTTTTTTACTCAGAATTCACTTATTGTTCTGTATTTTTTCTATTTTCTATAGTTTAAATATTCTGAATAATAGCATTAAGCCAACTTGCACCAAGCGGCATATTCAGTCAAGCCTGAAATTATTCATTCTCCTGGCAAATTCTGACTTAAAGTTAGGTTCATTCAACTAGTATTGTTTTTTCTTTTTGACCAGAAATGATACAGGCTTCTCCTTAAACATAATATGAGGCTGTACAAGAGGCAGCATTGTGGGAAAAAAACTCTCAGCTTTTATTTTATGCGCCGGCAGCTAGCTCTCTGCAACTCTCACATGGTCGCCCACTGAAGCTAAGCAGGGCTGCGCCCAGTCAGTACCTGGATTGGAGACCACATGGGAAAGCTAGGTTGCTGCCGGAAGTGGTGTTAGTGAGGCCAGTAGGGGGCGCTCAACCTGCGGTCTGTGTGGGTCCTAATGCCCCAGTATAGTGACGGGGACGCTATACTGCTCAGTGAGTGCCGTCTTTCGGATGAGACGTTAAATCGAGGTCCCGACTCTCTGTGGTCATTAAAAATCCCAGGATATCCTTTGAAAAAGAGTAGGGGTCGGCATCCTAGCCAAATCTGCCCACTGGCCTCTGTCCATCATGGCCTCCTAGCCATCCCCATATTCAATTGGCTTCATCACACTGTCTCCTCTCCACCAATCAGCTGGTGTGTGGTGTGCGGTCTGGCACAAAATGGCTGCCGTCGCTTCATCCAGGTGGATGCTGCACACTGGTGGTGGATGAGGAGATTCCCCCCATTGTGTAAAGCGCTTTGAGTGCCCAGAAAAGCGCTATATAAATGTAAGGAATTATTCATTATTATCATTATTATTATTTACATTTGTAAAAAATATTTAAAAAATATAAAAAAAAAATATATTTATTGGCCTATATATTGGTTATCAGTCTCAAAATCTTATTATATCGATATCGATATCAGCCGAAAAAATCAATTTCGGTGCATCCCAGATAGAACTGTACTGTAATCATTCACAATGCATTAAGATTCCAGCTTCAAGATATTGTGACACAGCTAAAAGACACAGCACAATCAATCTCAAATCACAGTGTTTGTGGGTCTCTCTGCAAGTTCACTGCACACTCACAAGGAAATAAACAAATTAACATCAAATGATTTTGATTTGGTTATAACGCTTCCATTAGCGGAGGTAAATCATTATCACTTTCTGTATAGCTGTTTAGCTCTCCCAAATGAATATTCACACTCACATTAGACAAAAGTAAATAAGATCACAGAATCAGCCAAAGCAATGCATTAAATGCATTACTTATTAACAGGAGAAACATTTTATCTCAACATGTAAGGGATTACGTACGCCGAAGGGAATAACAAGGTTGATCTTCTCTCCAACCTTCTTCACATAGCGCTGCCTCAGGAAGCGTGGTAGACGGATTTTAGGGCGATCTGTAGGAAGAAAAAAACGATAGCTTTACTTCTGAATCCCAATTTCCAAGCATTTCTAAGTGATAAAACACACGTTTTTGGTTAATGTTTGTCATGTTCCAGTGATAAAGAATTGCCTGATAAGATAATACTTCTAATTTTGACAACTTTTCTTTAGGAACAAAAATATCTGACTTCAACTTTGTTGTGATAATGAATGTCATCAACTAGGATATAATTGTTTGTTACCGTGATAATGTTTTAGCCATATCATTCGACCCTACTTGTGCTTAATATTACATGAAGACAGAACAACCTTTAATAAATACATAAATATATGCTCTAATTAGGTATCAGACTATTTAGTGAACCAAAAGACTGTTGCTAACAATAACATGACCCCAGCATTTCAGAGAGCAAGCTAACTGTAATTTCATCCTTAGCCATAGACAGCCTGGTTCATTTTTAATACCTAAACAGACCACAGCACAGAAATGATCACAACAATTATACCTAACACAGAAAAAAAAGAAATAAAAATCAATGACAAACACTTCTGAGTGATTTATGTTAAACTCTAGATGCTAACGCTGATGGTTCTGTCAGACTCATCAGGGATATAAATAGATCAGTCCTTTAACACCCCTGCCACTAATAACTTATGAGCGAGAGATTTAGTTACATGAAAAACTGCTGAATTACACAACAACCACATACTGTACAACAAGATATTTGAAATATAGTATTTTAAAAATATACCAATGAAAAATAGAAGAAATATATTTGCTAAAACATGTTAAAAATATATATTCATTTAAATGTATTATCTCAAAAAATGTTTAGAAAATATATTTTTAAAACTAAATATCCTAAAAAAAACTAAATATCCTAAAAAAAAAAAAAAAAAAAAAAAAAAAAAAAATATATATATATATATATATATATATATATATATATATATATATATAT